CAATTCTGTTGTGCATGTATCATCCGCCTCTGCTGAGGTCTCTGATGATAGATCCGTGGTGGAATCCAAAACATCAGGCGAGTAAAGTTCTTGTCCCCGCGCTCACAGCGTCTTCTTCTCAGTTACTTCCTGGGCCTCACAGGTTCGCCTTTATTGGCAATTACTGTACCTTATCCAAAAATTAATGCTTTGTCCTTAGCTCTACCTACCCCATGCTCGATGTAGGAATAGGGTAGCAATCAGTGTTCGCATTGAAAACCAGATAAATGGACATTAATAATATTAATCCGTTTCTGCTGGGTGCACCTTAGCTGTACATACGTTGTCTTTGTTCCTTTTGGACAGGCAGTAACGATGTAAGACCCTTCCTAGGCAGGGTTTTCCATCTACTGTATGAATAACCGTCTGGAATAGTTGACGATGTCTTCCTATTTAGAGCCGATGTTAATGTATACGGTACAAAACATTTCCGGTTTGACTGCGATAGACTTCATCGCATCTGGTGCATAGCATTTTTAGACGACTTCCGTTTTAGGGACAGCCAATCTGGTCGTTAGGAGACATAAGCTAGGTATGCAAAGCAACTCAATATCTGTATGCGATCGTATCTATCTTGTTATTTAATATTCCTTTGATCAACTCAGATACGCTTCTACTTCAGAGAGAGAGAGAGATTGCAAGACTGTTGGTTTTGATTGCTATAAAATTAAAATCATCTTACTTGAACACTTTTGTTTCGTGAGTTGGTTCAAAATATTTAAATCTACGCATTCTGTAGAATAAGTTTAAAAATGTATTTTATTGCTATCTGATAACATTGTTCGGTTGAGCGGTGTAGGAGATACTTCTTGGGATTGTACAGTGTTAAAAATTCTATGATTGTCAGGTCAAATGTCAAGATAACAAATTATAGAACCAAACTTTCAGTTATATTCTATACATAAATTTGAATATTCCAATGAAATGCTACGGCTATCCAACTAGCAAAAGAAACCGATACGACTGAGGGGTATTAAATGTCCATAGCTGGAAAAATACTTAGCTAACAATTAGCAAACTCACACGACTAAGTTGCGAATTACTTGAGTCGTGGTTCACGGTCTGCAGTATATAAACAAACTGCACTGACCTGCTCAACGCATACTCGGTGCTGAGGTTCAATTTGGCCAAAGCAAGTAGTCACTTGGGGAACGCAGAGGCCAACGCCAGCACCGGGGAACCAGATGGCCGGACGATCATCGCGTCCAATTCCACTACGCGCGAGGAAAGTTCAGCAAGTCACGGCCCGCACGCCCGTCATCAATCAATTAGCGCACAAGCGGACAATTATCCTCGATAGGGGAGTCGTTAATTGCCATAAGTGTGCAGTGGCATAGTTACTATATCGTATAAACGTTGCAAATCCCTGTGCATGAATTACCTGTTTCTGGTAATGTCTCTGATGATTAATCTACGACGGATTTCGAAACGTTAGGCAAATAAAAACCTCATCCCAGCGATCACATCCTCTTCTTCTCCATTACTTCCTGGGACTCGCATGTTCGCTTGTATTGGCAATTATTGTAATCTGTCCAAAAATGAATGCCATGTCCTTAGCTCTGCCTACCCCATGACCGATGTAGGGCTAAGATAGTAATCAG